TCTATTGGATTTGCTATTGGAAACCAATGATTTTTAATAGTTTTCTATTGGAAACCAATGGTTTCAAGTAGGTCCCTCATTGGAAACCAGGGAGTCCTGGAGACTTCCTTAGGATTCCTGGAGACTTCCTTAGGATTCCTGGAGACTTGCTGAAGATTCCTGGAGACTTCCTTTGGGTTCTTTGAACATTCCGAAGGAATCCTTGCGAATTCCTTGGGACTCCTGGAGAATTCCTATGGGATCTCAAGGATTCCTTAGGAATCGTCGGGGATTCCTTCAGATTCCTAGGGAGGCTCCCGAAGATTTCCTTCGGATTCCTGGAGAATCCCTCAGGACTCCTCAGGGATTCCTTCGGATTCCTGATAAATTCCTCGGGATTCCTAAAGCTTAGGATTCCTGGAGAATTCCTTGGGATTCCTTGGGAATTCCTCAGGTTTCCAGGAAAATTCCTGAGGATTCCTCGTGAAGTCCTTAGGATTCCTCACAGCGTGCCGGCCATAAGTCAAGTGTGAGAGACGCGTAGTTTATATCTGGTTTTCGTACACCTGAATAGAAACCCAACCAAACTACCGGCCATAAACAGGCCAGCCATAGACGACGGGTGACCCTACTACTACTACTACTACTACTACTGCTGCTACTACTACTACTACTACTACTACGAATACGACTACGACTACGACTACGACTACGACTACGACTACTACTACTACTACTACTACTACTACTACTACTACTACTACTACTACTACTACTACTACTACTACTACTACTTACTACAACTACTACTACTAATACTACGACTATTACTACTGTTACTACTACGGCTACTACTAGTAGTAGTACTGCCACTACTACTACTACTACTACTACTACTACTACTACTATTACTACTACGACTCTACTGGGACTATTCCTACTATCATTACTTATAGTAGTAGTAGTAGTAGTAGTACTACTACTACTACTACTACTAGTAGTCGTAGTAGTAATAGCAGCAGTAGTAGCAGTAGTAGTAGTAGTAGTAGTAGTAGTAGTAGTACTGGTAGCAGTAGTAATAGCAGCAGTAGTAGTAGTAGTAGTCGTCGTCGTCGTCGTCGTAGTAGTAGTCACCGTCGCCGTAGTAGGTGGTAGTAGTAGTCGTCGCCGTCGTATCAGTAGTAGTAGTAGTAGTAGTAGTAGTCGCAGTCGCAGTCGTAGTAGTAGTAGTAGTAGTAGTAGTATTAGTAGTAGTAGTCGTAGTAGTAGTAGTAGTAGTAGTAGTAGTAGTGGTGGTAGTAGTAGTAGTAGTAGTAGTAGTAGTGGTAGTAGTCATAGTAGTAGTAGTAGTAGTAGTAGTAGTAGTAGTGGTAGTAGTAGTAGTAGTAGTAGTAGTAGTCGTCGAAGTAGTGAAAATAGTAATAGTAGTAGTAGTAGTAGTAGTAGTAGTAGTAATTGCAATAGTAATAGTAGTAGTAGTAGTAGTAGTAGTAGTAGTAGTAGTAGTGGTGGTGGTGGTGGTGGTGGTGGTGGTAGTAGTAGTAGTACCAGAACCAGTACTAGTACTAGTAATCGTAATATTTGTACTAGCAGCCGTAGCGGTCGTGTCAGTGAGGAGCATGAAGAAATTCACCGACCCTGTGTCGGCGCGTGTGAGGGGTTGTTCGTCCTCGTCGTCGTCGTCGTCGTTGCAGTGCTCTAGCGGCCCTCCTCCTCCTCCCCCGCCTGCTCCTCGTGCTCCTTCTCCTCCTCCTGTCCTCCTCCTCCTCCTCCTCCTCCTCCTCCTCCTCCTCCTCCTCCTCCTCCTCCTCCTCCTCCTCCTCTCCTCCTCCTCCTCCTCCTCCTCCTCCTCCTCCTCCTCCTCCTCCTCCTCCTCCTCCTCCTCCTCCTTCCCCCAACTTGCTCCCCTCCTCTTGCTCCTCCTCTGCCTCCTCTTGCTCCTCCTCCTCCTCCTCACCCTCGTTTTCATCTTCGTCGTCTTCAGGGTTGGCGGCACCGGCCGTAAGACCTCCGCAATAGTTGCGAAAAATACATGCTCTAGCACAACTCGTAGTAGATATGAGAATGACCGCAATGAGAACAATACCAAAGCTCATCGGGATAGCGTGATTAGTCCCACGTAACCGTAATAGTGCTAGTGAAGGTATCAAGGTGCATCTAAGTAGTGCTCCTACGCTGGCGTACTATCGACAAAAACGTTGCCCAATACAACCACACGTAGGGGCATTGTACAATAGGGATTGGTCAGTAGCCACGGAGGAAGTAATAGTGGAGTTGTCGTAGGTAGGTAAGCAGGTAGGTCAGCAGGTATGTAGGCAGGTCGGTAATTAAGTCGGTCGGTCGGCAGGCAGGCAGGCAGCAGGCAAGCAGGACGGCAGGCAGGCAAGCAAGCAGGCAGGTAGGCAGGCAGGCAGGCAGGCAAGCAGGCAGGCAAGCAGTAATAGTAGTAGTCGTAGTAGTCGTAGTAGTAGTGGTAGTGGTAGTACTACGAGTGGTCGTAGTAGAAGTAGTAGTGGTAGTCGTAGTCGTAGCAGTAGTAGCGGTGGTGGTAGTGGTAGTAGTAGTAGTAGTAGTAGTAGTAGTAGTCGTCGTAGCACTGGTAGTGGTGAAAGTGGCGGTCGTAGTAGTAGTTTTAAAAGTAGTAGAAGTGGTAGTAGTAGTAGTAGTAGTAGTAGTAGTAGTAGTAGTAGTAGTAGTAGTAGTAGTAGTAGTAGTAGTAGTAGGAGTCGTAGTAGTGGTAGTAGTACTAGTAGTAGTAGTAGTAGTAGTAGTAGTAGTCGTCGTCGTCGTCGTCGTCGTCGTCGTCGTCGTCGTCGTCGTCGTCCTAGTCGTCATAGTAGTAGTAGTAGTAGTAGTAGTAGTAGTAGTAGTAGCATTAGTAGTAGTAGTAGTAGCAGTAGCAGTAGTAGTAGTAGTAGCAGTAGTAGTAGTAGTAGTAGTAGTAGTAGTAGCAGTAGTAGTAGCACTAGTAGGAGTAATAGTTGCAGTAGCAGCAGCAGTAGCAGTAGTAGTAGTAGTAGTAGTAGTAGTAGTAACAGGAACAATCGTAGCAACAGGCGTAGCAGTAGTAGTAGTAGTAGTAGTAGTAGTAGTAGCAGTAGTAGTAGTAGTCGTCGTAGTACTGGTAGTGGTGAAAGTGGCGGTCGTAGTAGTAGTTTTAAAAGTAGTAGTGGCATCAGCAGTCGTAGTAGTAGTAGTAGGAGTAGTAGTAGTAGTGGTAGTAGTAGTGGTAGCAGTAGTAGTAGTAGTAGTAGTAGTAGTAGTAGTAGTAGTAGTAGTGGCTGTAGTCGTAGGACTGATAGTAGAAAGAGTGGTAGTCGTAGTAGTAGTGGTCGTAGTGGTAGTAGTAGTAGTAGTAGTAGCAGGAGTCGTAGTTGTAGTCGTAGTCGTAGAAGTAGCAGTAGGAGTAGTAGTAGTAGTAGTAGTAGTAGTAGTAGTTGTAGTAGTAGTAGTACTAGTAGTAGTAGTAGTAGTAGTAGTAGTAGTAGTAGTAGTAGTAGTAGTGGTGGTAGTAGTATTCCAAGTGGTGGTAGTAGTAGTTGTAGTAGCAGGAGTCGTAGTAGTAGTCGTAATAGTAGTAGTCGTAGTAGTAGTAGTAGTAGTAGTAGTAGTAGAAGTAGTAGTAGTAGCAGTGGGAGTAGTAGTAGTAGTAGTAGTAGTCGTAGTAGTAGTAGTAGTGGTAGTAGTAGTAGTAGTAGTATCAGTAGTAGTAGTAGTAGTAGTACTACTAGTGTTGCGAGTGGTAGTTGTAGTATTAGGAGTAGTAGAGGTAGTAGTAGAGGTAGTAGTAATAGTAGTAGTACTTGTTGTTGTCGTAGTGGTAGTACTGGTGATATGAGCAAGGTAGTTGTAACAGTAGTAGTAGTAGTAGTACTAGGGGTAGTAGTAGTAGTAGAAGTAGCAGTCGTAGTAGTAATCGTGGTAGCCTTCGTAGTACGACTACGACCACCACCACTACTACTACTACTACTACTACTACTACTGCTACGGCGGCTACTAGTAACCTGACTACGAGTACTATTATTACTGATATTATCAATCGTAGACATAGAAGTTGAAGTAGGGATAGTACAAGTAGTAGCACAAGCAGTAGAAGTCGTAGTAGTAGTAGTAGTAGTAGTAGTCGTAGTAGTAGTAGTAGTAGTAGTTGTAATAGTAGTAATAGTAGTAGAAATAGTGGTAGCCGTAGTAGCGATTGTAGTAGTAGTAGTAGTAGTTGTTGTTGTTGTTGTAGTTGTAGTAGTAGTAGTAGTAGTAGTAGTAGTAGCCGTGGTGCTGGCAACGTAAGAGTCGTAGTAGTAGTCGTAAAAGCCATAGTAGTGGTAATACCAATGACGCAAGCCGTCGAATGGTCAGTTGTAGTAGTAGTTGTAGCAGCAGTAGTAGTAGTAGTAGTAGTAGTAGTAGTAGTGGTGGTGGTGGTGGTAGTAGTAGTAGTAGTAGTAGTAGTAGTCGTAGTAGTAGTAGTAGTAGTAGTAGTAGTAGTAGTAGTAGCCGCAGAGAGTAGCAATAGCAGGAGTTGCATCGGTATCAATATATTCTTCGATCGCTGACTGCGAACAGCCTAGCAGCCCCAGCTGCTGACGAACCATTGATAGGACAGGCAGCGCCAGCGGGCAGCAGCAGCAGCAGCCAAAGCAATGGCACGCGCAGAACTGCCACCAGCAGCCGCCGCAAGAGGCGGCAGGCGCCCCCCCCCCCCCTCCGGCCGGCGAGGAGGCGGGGGCCCCGCGGTCCGAGCCCGCCGAGCTCGCCGCATCGGACGGCGCCAGGGCCAGAGCCGTCGGCGCCTCCCAGGCTTGGCGCCCCAGGGGGGGGGGGGGGGCGCCTGAGCGGCGAGCAGGAGCAAGGAGCGAGAAAGGAAGACAGTTGTCTTCGTCGAGCACGAGCCACAGGCATGCTGCCTCCACCTCGGAGCACGGCATGTCACCGCAGCCAGGCTGCGCCGCAACTCAAAGGAACGGATGGTGGCCATCTTAACTCGCGGCGCCGCGTGCTCGCTCAATGGAAGCCCACGTGCTAGCCCGCCGGAAAGACAAAACAAGGCGAGCCGACAAAGGAGCGAGGAGGTATATCAAGGATAGCCTAAGCGAGGAGAAAGAGAAATAGCCAGGAGGTTCCTCCCTGTCAGGAGATCCACAGCACACGCACGTTACAGCAACTCGTGCGGGGGCACGCTTGTCTTCGAAGGTTGATTTTCCGAAGGTGCTCTCGGGCTGCTGTGGGTACACGGGGCCTTCGGGGGACAAGAAACATCTGTATGGCACCTGCTGGAGTGATGGATTATTATTTGGTGAGCCTGCAACAAAAAAACACCGTGTGAAAGGTGTAGATACTTGGCAAACCCGCCAGGAAGGGAGGTTGTGATGACATGAGCCGGGCTTTTGCAAGACTGCGCCATTCCCTGTAGGATGTCTTCTCGCACTGTTTCATAAGATACGTACGGCCACAACTGCACTGCCTAGACCACAAAGATCTCCCCGGACCAACTCCTCGAAGACTCGACAATGCGCTGCTTCTGTTGGTCAGTCGGTCAGTCAGTCAGTCAGTCAGTCAGTCAGTCAGTCAGCCAGTCAGTCAGTCAGTCAGCCAGCTGCTCTGGAGATTTCTGCGCGTTGTCCTGCGACTCCGGAGCGTGAGGAAGCCCTGCGGGAAGCTCTGTGAGGTTCCCCGCGGCGCTGGGCCAGGTGGACGACGGCGGACCGCCGGCGCCCAGGAACAAGGGCAGGAGCGAAGAGCAGGAGGAGGAGGAACACTGGCAGCACCTCTGACCACATGCCATTCGGAGAGGAGAGAGGAGGAGAGAGGAGGAGGAGGAGAGAGGAGGAGGAGGAGGAGGAGGAACACCTCCTGTTGCCTCCGCGCTGCCCTGGCCGCAGGGCGACCTCAAAGCCCCGAGCGGCCCACACGAGGTCGCCGGAGCACCGCTCCTGCCGAGCCCCGAGCCTCGCAGGCCTGCTGCCCGTGCTTCTTCCTCGTGCGGCCGCCGCCGCCGCCGCCTAAAAAACTGCGGCGCGAGCCCACCACGTCCATGTCGAGCCTGTCCCCCTACAGGGGGATTTTCGAGGAGAAAAACAAAAAGCCCAACAATACCCCCCCAAAAAAGCCAAAACATATTCCAAAAATAGTCCCCAGACTATGTGTGGCATATTGTTTGGCTGTTTTGGGGGTATTTTTATTCTTCGTCGAACATCCCCCTGTAGGGGGACAGGCCCGACTTGACGCCACGCCCTCGGCCCCCCGGGGGGGGGGGCCTGCCGGCACCCTCGGGCTGCTGGAGCAGGGACCGTTGAGGGAGCGAAGCCCCTTTGTTGGCCCCCAGGGCGCCTGCGAGCGCGAGGAGGGCTAGAGGAACAGCCATCGGAGGACCTGACGAGCATATCGGGCCCCTGCCGAACCCTATGACCACACCCCCTGCTTGGAGCTTAAAAGCAGGACGCTCGGGCTGCTGGAACAGGGACAGTTGAGGGAACGAGGCCCCTTGTTTGTGGCCCCAGGGCGCCCGCGAGCGCCAGGAGGGCTGGAGGAACAACCATCGAAGGGCCTCAGGAACATATCGGGCCCCTGCCGAACCCTGACCACAGCCCCCTGCCTAGAGCCAAAAAGCAGGACGCTCAGGGCATGAGCTTCGCTCCAAGCGCTGCCTTGAGCAATCGCCCAGGTCCAGATATACGGAAGCATTGCGAACAAGAGGATCCACGACAGTGCCCAGGGTCTGGTCCTGATTCTTGATTCTCAGACGCGAAATCTGTAGACCAGGACAGATGATGCTGCTTCTTCAGATGCCTTATGGGTGCGTTCCTTGCCCCAGCGTTTTGACGCTATCCCGAGGCTTCTCTCCCTGAGCGCGCCAAGACCAGGACTGCGAGGCGCGTCCAGCCGCCGTGGCGAGGGACAGGGGCAGCGATGCCGTGCTCCTCCCCTCCCCCGAGACATTCTCCTCCGGCCCCCCTCCCCCCAGGAGGGACCCCCAGACGTCCTCCGCCGTGGCCATGTCCAAACGTGGCTCCCCAGCCGTCTGGACCCCTTCGAGACACAGCCAGGACCGAGGAGGATCGGTCGAGGGTCTCTGAGATCTGGCGGCTCTGGAGGAGGTCTCGGGCGCCGCGGCCTCCTCAGAGCGCTCTGGAATGTGCTGAGAGCGCTCCAGAACGCTCTGGAACGGATTTTTTGATCCTCGTCCTGGCACTGTCCGACCTTGCCCGGGACTGGCTCTTCGTCCCGAGCCGTTCTCCGACGGTCTCGCGAGGCCCAGCGAGGGCCCACCCGGCGACCGAAGGCGGGCAAGCCCCCTCCGCACCTGCCTCTCTCCCGCAAAAAGAGAGGGCCTCGGGGTCCGCCGGGCCCTCCTCCAGTCGGGCGTTCGCTTGAGGGGGGGGCGAGAGAAGGAAATGAATTGGGAGGGGGGGAACACGTGCACCTTTCGATCCCCTTTCGGGCCATATGGGAGCCCTTTGGGGCCCCTCTAAGGCACAAAAGGCGCACCTCTCCCCCCCCCCCCGGTTTTCTGGATCAGTCAGAATCGAGTCGGGGAATCGAATCGCACGGAACTGTGCACCGGATCGGGCTGCCTCGGCACCGAGTCGGAATCGAACCGCATCGGCTGCGCCAAGATGCACGGCAGCGCCATGCAAGCCTCCGTCCCGTCCGCGCCGCACCGCCCACAGGCAGAATCGAGTCGAGTCGGGCCGCCCAGAATCGAAGCCGAATCGGATCGATCGGATCGAAAGGGATCCCTGAGGCATCGCGCCCCCCCTTGCGCAACGCCCGCAAGAGGACGCCAGGGCCCGCCAGCCCCCTCCTCCAGGAGGCACCGCGGCGGCGCCGGCCGGGGCGCGCGCGCGCCTTCCACTCGGGCTCGAGGTCGCGGAAGGCAGAGCTCGGCCGCGCCGACCACTCGGGGTTCTCGCCGGCGGCGTCCGCGCCCTCCTCGGCGGGAGGGAGGGGGCGGCGATGCAGTCCAGTCGCCCGAGAAGGATGCGCGGCAAGGATACACGGGCCTTGGAGCAGGGCCGCGCCGGCATTCTCGAGCGGGGCTGGCCAGCGAAAGGCGCTAGCGGTGGGCCGAGAAGGGGCAAGGAGGAAAGGGTAGCCTCGGAAAGTTGCTCATCCGTACTGTGCGCCTTGACTCGCAGTGGGGACTGGCATCGGGGGGGGGAAGCATCGACCTGCAATCGGCGATGCATCGCCGACAGAGCGGCGAGGGGCTCCCGATAGCATAGGTAAAAACCCTGTTTCGAATGCTGTATCGGCACACGTGGAGGGTGGGTGAGGGTTGTGGGTGCCATGACATTGGACAATCTAACAGCCCGAACATTGGATTAAACATGTGTTTAAATTGTGTAAAACATGTTCTAAGCATGTTTCAAGCATGTTTTTACATCTGGAAGCTCTTTGGCAGCATGCCTCCTCTCCATTAATCGACTTCCACAAGGTGAGGGTGCCGTTTTCTGCATTCACGAACATCGACCTGGAATCGGCGGTGCCTCGCCGATAGATCGGCGATGGGCCCCCGATGGTGGCGAACCTGCACGCCCTTGGGCAGGGTTCGAAGGACCCTCCTTTGGCACGAAGGAGAGACCCTCCTTTGACCAGTTTTTGGTTCTGGAATTCAAAAAACGACTGGCTTGTGAATTGAAACATCAGTTTTGTGAATTCAGAAACAAATTTCTAATATCAAAAAGCGATTCATTGAATTCAAAAAACCAGGCACTAAGGGGGCGGGATGGTGACTTTCGGCGGCGTTGTCGGCTTTCCCCCCAGGGATCCGCTCGTCATGCAGAGTCTTTTGTTAAACATTTCCCCCCTGGAGGCCGACCCCCCGCCTCCAGACAAGAGACCGGGCGCGATGGGTGGGGCACTGTCGAGGTTGCCGACACGGTCGTCCAATCTTGGTGGTGCTGGTCCTCCATCGTGCCCGGATCCAGACATCGAGCTTGAGTTACCCCAAAGTCGATGTTCTCCTCGAGTCACACGTAGAATGTTCGTAGGTCTACGAAAACCGACGCACAAATCAATTCTGGGGTGAAGCAATTCTGTAGTCGATCCCCTACTCGAAGACAGTAGCAAATTGCAGGACACTTCTCCTTCATAATCCCCTCTGCTGGCATCCTGGCATCGTAGGCGCCTCCCGGATGGGGTCCGAGTAGAGGGGGTCGAAAAATCGGGCCGCATCGCGAATACATCGACAGTGCATCGCCGAGGCATCGGCAGTACGTCGGCAGGGCATCGGCGAAGTCGGCGTGGAGAAACTCAGGCTCCACATCAGGCCGCACCGACGATGCATCGGCGATAGGGTGCGATCCCCCCAACCGCACTGAACCTCTGAAGGAATTGAGAGCCCCCCCAAAGAAGGGACCCCCCGAACAGTGGAAGCTGATGTGGTTTGGGGGGGCGGACTGGGCCCCACCAGTAGCGGAAAATAATAATTCACCCGCGGCACCCACCACACAACAAGGACGACGACGAGATGAAAGAGGAGATTGTGAGCAACGCCTTCGGCGAAGAAAGTGTCAACATATAGCGCAATCCTCTTACACACGTGCTCACAACTCCTCTGTCGTTCAGGGTGGCCCAGGGAGCACGATTCCCTGGGAGACAGAATCCCCTAACAGTACCCAGCACGCACAACAGTAGAAGAAAATGAATCTCTGCTGCGACAACGACGACGACAACGCTAACGACTACGACTAAGATTACGACTACGATTGCGACTACAACTTCGACGACGACGGCAACGACAACGACGACGAAGACGACAACGACGACGATTACAATCGCGATTACAATCACGATTACAATCAATGCTGAAATAACGACCACTATCACGAGTACAAGCACAACCACTAACTCCCATTTCCATCCTCGTGAGAAGATGCTCACAAATCCTCTTGCGTGTAATTAGGGTAGCCCAAAGACCCCAACAATATCCAGCCCGCCCCAACAATCAAATGAAAATAATCTCCGCGGCGACGACGACGAGGAGGGGGGAAGAGGAGGAGGAGGAGAAGGAGGAGAAGGAGGAGGAGGAGGAGGGCGAGGAGGAGGAGGAAGACGAGGAGCAGCAGGAGAGGAGAAGCAGCAGGAGAGGAGAAGCAGTAGGAGAGGAGCAGGAGGAGGAGGAGGAGGAGGAGGAGGAGGAGGAGGAGGAGGAGGAGGAGGGGGAGGAGGAGGAGGAGGAGGAGGAGGAGGAGGAGGAGCGAGTTTGTTCCCCGCCGAGAGAAACGGGGGGGGACCCAAGACTGAAGACCTCCTGAGTTTTGGACCCCCTCTGGGAGGCCAAGACACAACGGGGGGCAGCGGCCCTCCTGCCCGAGCCACACGTAGTTGTGGTGGAGCCGGTCGAAGACGCCGTGGGCGCCCGCGGTGGGCCGCCTGCGGCGGGGCACCCGAGGCTGTGCCCCCGCAGAGAGCAGGGCTAGCAGCCGGCGCCGCAGGGCCCCAGGCGGCAGCGACGACGGTGGCGAGGGCAGAGGGCGGCGGCGGCGACGACGGCTGCTGTTGACGACGGCAGCCAGCGGCGACGACAGCGAGCGGCGACGGCGCCGGCGAGAGGTGGCGAGCGACGACGGCGAGCAACGACGACAGCGAGAGGCGTCGACGGCGTGCGCGCGACGGCGGCGGCGAGGCGCGGCGGAGCGTCTGGGCGGCCAGGCCGCCTGTGCCGGTGGATGCTGCCCTGCGCCAGGGCCTCGCGCTCCTCCTCCTCGCAGCGCCGGATGGCCTCGGTGCGCTTCTCCTGCGGCGGGTCGCGCAGCCCTCCGACGTGCCGCGGGTGGGCACGAGCGGAGGCTGCGCATACACTACCGCCACCAGCCGCGAGGCGCCAGGGAGGGTCGTCCTCCTGCTGAGGTGGTCCCCCCGTCGCTCGAGGCGTCCACTACGCATCTCCTGCCCGGGGGGGGGGGGGGGGCATCGTGGATCCGTCGTTTTGCCTTCAATCCGCCTTTAGCGCAAAACGAAATCGAAACGGAAACGGCCCACGAAATCGCCAAAACACCGTTTAGGTCCACCCCTGAACCTTGGACCCGCTGGCTGGAGGCGGCCCCACCTGGTGAGGGGGGTGCCGCCCCTCCTGCCTCCGACGTTGAGAGGACAATGCGGCAGGCTCGTGTAGTGACGACCCCGGCGTTCGTTTCTGACACCGCGAGGATCGTTCAACCGTGAACGATCGGCGGCTCTTTGGATCGCCAGATCACTCCACATTGGCCGGTTTGGGGCCACTCGCGGCGTTCAAGCTTGAATGCCCGCGGCAAGATCGCCGCAACGTCAACACGACACGAACCTACCGTGCGGAGGACGTTCACCGTTTCGGGCCCCTGGGCGCCTCACCGCACCCTCAGGACGAAAGGCCGACCCTGCATGGGGAATGGGTCGGGATTTTCGGCGGGCTGGGGGGGGAGGTCGAGATTTGATGTTCTTGTGCTGTTCGCTTTGTTTTGGCCTCCGGGGAACTCCTCGTAGCCACGGCTGGATCCCCCTCGAAGTTATAGCCAGCCCCCGATCCCAGACGCCCTTTCGGGTAAGAGGGGGATGAGGGGGGAGAGACGGCACAAGCCAGCGGATGAGCAGTCGGGTCGATAACTCCCACCTGGACGGCCGAGTGATGGGCACGTGCTCATAGGCACCCATCTCTCAGCATGATGAGCGGGCCTGGCAGCACGGCTGATAACTATATAGCGGCCGCGGAGCGCAGCGGCGAAGGTGGCAGCTGCCCGATCGACGGATGCCAGTGCGAAGCACAGGTGGGCGGGGAAGGTGGTGAAGGAGAAGGGGCAGGGTCCCTCCACCAGGCGCGTCCTCAAGCTTGGGGCCCATGTCGTACAGGCGCTCCCAGGCCGCCTTGCCGTGCCCGCTCCGCACGGCGCCAAGCACGGCCTCGCGGGAGCTCTCGGATCAAAGCCCAGAGCCCCGACGTACGTCGAGATTGGTTCAATTCCGGTGTTTTCGGATCCCGGGACCAAAGAACTATCCGGGATTAAAAGCTACCCTCCCTGGAAGGGGTCGTGACCTCTGGGCCCCCAGTACAGCCCGAACATGGCCATAAGACCGTGGGTCAAGAGCATGAGGCCCCTTCACGGGAGGTCCAAGGACTCATGGATATACCTGGACCGACAAGCATTGCGCGGTGGGAAGCCAAAACATGAAGAAGACAGGAGCACCCTTCAGAGCTGGGGTTGTTCTTCGCCTTCGCGCGATCGAGCAAAAACGATCACGACGTCAGAGGCAGAGGTGCCGCCAAAGAGGCTCGACACCAAAAAAAAAAACGGCGAGGGACGGGGCTAGACCTTCGCTCTTAGGGGGCAGAGGAAGATCAAGTTTATGCTCACAGCGCGAGACGATATGGGTCCTCCTCCTGCGATTGATTATGCTAAACCTCATCCTCTGCCTCATCCTCCTCCTCCTCCTTCTCCTCCTCCTCCTCCTCCTCCTCCTCCTCATGATCATCATCATCATCATCATCATCATCATCATCATCATCATCATCATCATCATCATCATCATCATCATCACCATCCAACTCCTCCTCCTCCTCCCTCCCCGCGAAAAGCGGAGGGAGGGGGTGGGTCGCGGCACGATGGCCGCCTGGTCGGCCACGAGCGTCGGCTTGAAGGGCTGCTTGTCCGTCCCCGCCTGTGAGTTCGCGCTCGGGACAGGACGCCGTGCTCCAGGTCTTCCAGCTCCTCCTCCTCCTCCTCATCTTACTCCTGCTCTTTCTCCTCCTCCTCCTCCTCCCCCTCCTCCTCTTCATCTTCCTCCTCCTCCTCCTCTTCCTCCTCCTGCTCCTCCTCCTCATCCTCCTAATCATCACCACCACCACCATCATCATCACCATCATCAGCATCATCATCATCATGAGCATCAGCATCATCATCATTCCGCCTCCTCCTCCTCCTCCTTGACCTCCTCCTCCTCATCATCATCATCAGTATTCCTCCACCTCCTCCTGCTCCTCCTCCTCCTCCTCCTCATCATCATCATCATCCTCATCCCTCTCCCCTCGCCCCTGCCACCCCCACCCACCACCACCCCCCACACCGCCCCCCATTCCCCCCCTCCTCCTCCTCCTGATCCTCCTCCTTCTCCTCCTCCTCCTCCTCCTGCTCCTCCTCCTCCTCCTCCCTCAACCCACTCCCGCATCCTGATCTCCCGCTCCCCTCCTCCTCCACAATTACTCAATATGAATACTACTCTCCCTCTTCCCCTGATGGCGTCCTGGGAGTAGTAGACCCCCCCCCGCGTACTGTTTTTTTACAAACAGGATTCCCGGGAGTTGGGTTTTCGCCTGCGTTTTTTTCAAAATGCTGCTCTCGCTGAGGCGCCGGCCTCATTTCTGCTCCCGAATCGTTCCGAATCGTGCTCCCGCTGCAGCGTGGGCCTCATTTTCGGATTGGTGTTTTGCCTCCGTCGTTCAGGATGGCGTTCTCGCCCCAGCGCGGGCCTCTTTCTCGCGCGCCCATCCGCCCGCCACCACCGCGCCGCACCACGCCCCGCCCCGCCGCACGCACACCCACCGCCACTTCCACCCACCAACGCACGCACGTACGCACGCGCACCACCACCGCGCACCGCCACCACCACCGCACTACCCCACCCACCACCACCACGCTACACCGCGTCACACCACATCACACGCGCGCACACACAGACACACACGCACGCACGCACGCACGCACGCACGCACGCACGCACACACACACACACACACACGCACACACACACACACACACAGACACACACACACACACCACCACCGCCACCACCACCACCGCCATCACGCACGTACGCACCTGGCCCACCACCAAACCACCAAGACGCCACACCACGTCACACCACAGCACACGCGCACACACGCACACACACACATACACACCACCACCACCACAACAACCACAACCACGCACACACGCACGCACGCACGCGCACCACCACCCACTACGCACACGCGCGCGGAGCCACAGGTCCGCTACGACACGCGTCCGCGGATAGAGAAAATCAGCGCCATGGTAAGGGATGGGAGGGAGGGGGAGGATGTCAGATGTAGACGCGAGCGCACCTAACTTGGTCCGCCCCCCTCTCCTCTTGTCCCCCACCCCCCCCTCCTGCCCCTCCCCCCCCCTGGCAGAGAGGGAGCGACGAGGACCTCCCCGAGCGGTGGGGGTCTGACGCCGAGCTGTTACAATTGGAGCCCAGACCCCGCGTGGAGCGCGCATCCAATACATTCCACTTCTGCCTCCCCCCTCCACCCCCCCTGCCCCCTCCGCCCCCTCCTCCTCGTCGTCCTCGTCTCTCGTTTCCCAGCTCCCCGTTCTCCTCCTCACCCGCCGTGATCCTATACTTTCCTGTACCCCCAACTTGCCCCTACTCCCTTTTTTCCTGCCCCTCATCATAACATGGCCCACGTCATCCTCCTCCTCCCTCTCCTTCTCCTCCTCCTCCTCCTCCTCCTCCTCCCCACCATCACAACCACCACCATCATCATCATCATCATCATCATCATCATCATCATCATCATCATCATCATCAGCATCATCATCATCATCATCATCATCATCATCATCATCATCATCATCTTCATCATCATCATCATCATCAGCATCAGCATCAGCATCAGCATCAGCATCAGCATCATCAGCATCATCAGCATCAGCATCAGCATCATCATCAGCAGCATCATCACCATCAGCATCAGCATCATCGCCATCATCATCAGCATCATGATCATCATCACCATCAGCAACATCATCAGCAGCATCATCATCGACATCAGCATCATGAACATCATCATCATCGTCATCGTCATCGTCATCATCATCATCATCATCATCATCATCATAATCATCATCATCATCAGCAGCAGCAGCATCATCATAGTCATCATCATCAGCATCAGCATCGTCATCAGCATCATCAGCATCATCATCATCATCATCACCATCGTCAGCAGCATCATCATCAGCATCGTCATCATCAGCATCGTCACTATCAGCATCATCAACAGCAGCATCACCAGCATCATCCTCATCCTCATCATCACCGCCACCACCACCGCCATCATCAGCATCAGCAGCATCATCGGCAGCAGCAGCAGCATCAGCACCATCATCAGCACCGCCACCACCACCGCCATCAGCAGCAGCACCATCGACATCGGTATCACCATGGTCAGCATCATCACCATCATCAGCAGCATCAGCATCGTCATCATCATCGTCATCAACATCATCACCGTCCACATCATCAGCAGAATCATCATTATCATCAACAGCATCATCAACATCACCGTCATCAGCATCATCATCATCATCATCCCCAGAATCGGTATCAGCACTGGCATCATCATAATCATCCTCATCATCAGCATCATAAGCCTCATGCTCAGAATCAGATCAGCGTGTCCAGCAGCAGCATCGTCCTCATAATCAGCATCACCAGCACCATCAACAGCATCACCACCATCATCATCACCATCATTACCATCATCCTCATCGTCGTCATCATCATCAGAATCGTCGTCATCAGCATCATCAGCATCCACATCATCATATTAATCATCAGCATTATCATCATCAGCATCACAATCATAATCATCAGCAGCATTATTACCATCGTCATCCTCACCACCATCATCACCCGCAACATCATCAGCATCAGCATCACCATCATCATCATCACCATCATCATCACCGTCACCATCACCATCATCATCATCATCATCATCATCATCATCATCATCATCATCATCATCATCAATTTCATCATCATTATCGTTCCCTTCCTCTTCGAGGACCAATGGTCCAGAACGCTGTGTGTCAATGTGTTCCGATGTTCCCAGAAACATCCGAATGCTGAACGCCTCATTTCTGCCGGTACTGCTCATCCTCCTTCATTGCCATAAGATGGTGTTCTTCCTCTTTCTCCTCCTCCTCCTCCTCATCCTCAACCTTTCCCTCCTCAGATTCCCCCTCCTCCTCCTCCTCCTTGTCCTCTCCTCCTCCTCCTCCTCCTCCTCATCCCCCGACCTCCCCCACCTCCTCCCCTTCACCGGCATAACTTGACGGTTGCTGCACTGGTGCAGACATCCCTCGCCCTTCCACGTACCCCTCTGCCTGCTCCTCCTCCTCATCATCACCTCCCCATTCCGACGAAGACAACGACGACGTCGACGGCGACGGCGATAGCAATGACGTTGTCGATGACGTCGCTGTCATCGACGCCGTCGGATGAAGCCGAGGAGGAGGAGGAGGAGAAGAAGGAGGGCCACGAGGAAGGCAGGGGGAGGGGAACATGGATAAGGGGGAACAAAAAGGGTGAGGGGGGAGGAGGCAAGAGGGAGAGGAGTAGAGGAGGAGAGGATGGAGAGGAGAAGGCTAAGGAGGGAGCAGGATAAGCTCATCAAAATTCCGAAAGTCAACCACTCTGCTTGACCGACCCCTAGGACTGAATATGGATACCCATCGGTCGGAAGAAGTAGGTAGAAACATGAAGTAGGAAGGCGTTAAAAGTAGATTGGGTTACGTCCGCCCCCTAAGGAGCACGGAGAAGGTGAAGCCACTCGATCATGGAAGTAGGACGGCGCCTATAAAGTATATTGGGATCTGGGACTCCATCGACCGATGGGTATGGGTACAGGCCCAAACCTCTTGGCTCAGCAGCTGCCTGGGGTAAGCCCCTCCCCCCACACCCCGTCTGTCTGAGAGAATGGGCGGCCCCGTCTGGCGGGAGACCCCGATTCGGTGCGTGAAGACTGCTGCCAGCGGGCGGAGGCGGCTACCACTCTGTGCTGCACCTCCCCCGGTGAGGACCTCTCTGCACTCCGCCGTACCTCACTCTCCCCCACAAGCACCCCACAAACGAGAGAAAGCAGCTGCCATCAAACATAGATGAGACAGTCCCCTGAGCCCTGTGAGGCGCGCAGCACTGGCAGAGGCCTCACATTCTGGCCGAGGAGTGTGTCTCGCTACTTGTAATGACTGCTACGGCTGGATCTATGCATATCTGCTGCTGTGCTCAGGCCTGCTCCTCGCGCGATCTGCGTCCTAGCCCAAAACCCTGCCGCTGCCGCGACCTGCGTATCCCTCATGCGCAAGTCACCGTGACCATGGCTGGCAGAGCGAAGGGGAGGAGGGGGGAAGGACGCACGTGGACATCTGGAAACCTCCAGATCCGGGCCGGAGGTAAGACTTCCCACTCCACCTCCTCGTGCGGTCCCACACGAAAGGCTCTTGCCTGTTGGTGACAACCTGGCGGGTGCGAGGCCTGACCAACCGGCGTTCCCGGGGGTTGCCCGGGGTTGCTCGGTGTTTCTCGGGTTGCCCGGCCTTCCTAGGTTGACCCCGCCTTTCTCGAGCTGCCCCGTGACCCGGTTGCCCGGGGTGCCCGGGGTGCGCGGGGTGCCCATGTTGCCTGGTTGCCGAATTGCTGGGTTGCCCAGGTTGCATGGTCGTCCAGTTATCAGCCAGTGCAGCGCAATGCGACGCGAAGCGCTGCAGAGGAAAGGAAAGCAAAACCAAGCAGGGCTGTACACAATGCTATGCCAAGCAGCGCAAAGCAAGGCACAGCAACGCCAAGCAACGCAACGCCATACCAAGCAATGCTAAGCAACGTCGAGCAATGCCCAGCAATGCCATGCAAATCAAGCAACGCCAATCAATGCCAAGCAATGCAGAACAACGCGAAACAACACCGAGAAATGCCAAGAAATGCCAAGCAACACCAAGCAAAAACAAGCAACGTCAACCAATGCCGAGTAATGTCAAACATTGCAAACACTGCTACTCAGTGCCGTGCAATACCAAGCAACGCCAAGCTTGGCAAAGCAAAGCAAAGCAAAGATATGCAAGCAAGCAGCGCCAAGCAATGACAAGGAGCGCCAAGCAACGCCAACCAATGCTAAGCAACGCCAAGCAGCACCAAACAACACCAAGCAACGCCCAGCGATGCCAGCAATGCCAAGCAATGCTGAGCGGAACCAAGCAAAGCCAAGCAACGCCAAGAGATGCAAAGCAATACAAAGCAATACAATTGAAAGCAATGCAGTGTCAAGAAATGCCAAGCAATGCTGGTTTGGAAAGGTTCCTCTAATTGGGGTTGCGCAGGGCTCATTTGGACAACTGAATACCAACATGAGTAAGCCTCCCGAGTATCATGTCAACTCCCGTCCTCGAACTCTGCGATACCGCACACACACACGCACACACACACAAACACACACACACACACACACACATACGCACACACACGCACACACACACACACCGCTCGCACTGACCTGAAGACAAGAACGGAAATTCCTGAAGGCCCCCGGAAGTACCCTGAGGCCCAGAGACATCCTGAGGATCCTGGAAGCCCTACAAGGGTCTGAAAACGTATCAACCCCCCTCAAAACTCTATGACGACGACAGCGCGAGGGACGGACAAACGTAGAGGGGCCACATCGCCCCAATATTGGGAAACGTTTCAGCTGGCATAGGCGCCGCACCGTTATGAGACTGACTGCCTTAGCGGGTCGTCGTCAATTCGGAGTCTTCCTGGTGCGTCTGGTGGTTCTCGTTACCACGGCTGGATCTGGATCGCAAAACTGGCCATGAAGGATCCTGGGACAGGTACCGAGATCGATTCAGAGCATGTTGGTCGCCCGACGACGGCGACCACGTGCCTTTGCGGGTCTGAGGTTCTCGGAGTCCTTCTGCACCCATTCGTGGTTAACATTGTCAATGCCGCCGTAGCTCACCATCACCTTGTCTGCTGCGACCTTCACGATCGTGCACGCCTTCTTCTCGTTGTTTGGGCCGAGCATCACAAGCTTCTCGCCGACGATGAATCGCAGCTGCAGGGATGCGCATTTTGCTTAAGCACGCGCTCAAGCTCAGGAAGCGAACGGCAAAGCGAGACCGACACGGACGGTGCCAACCAATGACAGGCATCAAAATTGGGCAGCTGATGGCTGGTGAATCGTCGATGTGGTCCGTGCCTGCGTGCTGCCGCCTCCGAGCCTGTCTACATCACCCAGCCCGGCTCCGGGCCCTGCGACGCACACAGTGGGCCCCTGCCAACAACATCATGTATCATGTGCAAACCCAGGACCCAAGCTCTCTGAAGCATCCCAGCACAAGCTGAATGCGCACAGCACATGCGCGCAGTTAGGACGCAAGGAAAGGATGCAAGACCACGGGGCCGGCCCCAAGAAACCTAGCAGCGGCTGGCGCGCGGCCACAGACGCCGACCCATCAGGCTCGAAGATGATTGGGGAAACCAAAAGGTACCGATACTACTACTCCCCGGACCTCTCCCGGGGTGCGTTCTGACCAGGATTTGGAGGCGAATGTAGCAGTGGCGACGATGGCCTCCCAGGACACCCAAAAAGGAGAAAAGGGGCGAGAGGGCAGGGGTATGGCTACATCTTCCTCCTCCGAATGGTGGCGTTTGCATGGGGTCCCGTCTCCCGCGCGCCACATCCTCGGGCCAGCACAATGCAAATGCGCTGGAAACGCACGCGGCTGGATGTCCGCGACGGGGGCAGGCAGGCGCTGCACACGAGGCCTCGGCGACCTGGCGCGCTGGCTCTCGCGGGCCGCCAGCACGGCGCACCTCGCGGCAAACAGGGCGCGCACGCGCGACCTTACGCGGGCAGCTTGCGCGCCGATGACCACGCAATCGACCCCGTTTGGCATGACAGGAGCAGGTCCTGAAGGAAGCGGGTCCAGGATACCAGGGCTTCCCCCCTGGGGGAGGCAGCTTTCCATCCTGAGCCGTCTCCACTGACGGCCCCAGGGCCCACGAAGTGCCCCCGAGGGACCGAACACGCAGAGAAGCCTCAGGACCAGCTCCCCTCAGAACCTGCTTCCTTCGCAGCGATTCTCGGGAAGCCTCGCGCGGAGGGCCGGCCTCGTCTGCCCACGCTTTGTTTGTTTCACCACAAACAACCAGCAAGCTCATGAACGTTCAACCTTGACGGTCAAAAGTGACTGACATCAAAGATGTTTTAACATCATCGGAGGCGCCCACGCGAAGGCGAAGGTGCTGGAGAGAAATGCGGCCACGCGTGTGTTCGTGTGGCTGCCCCGATGCCGTCCAAGGCACCCACAGACACATGTAAAAAGGGGCCTAGGGACACACAAATAAGTAGACACAGGTCCCAGGGTTCCCAATACTTTCCCATATTTTCTGGGTTTTCGCCCTCCGCCCCGCTCCCCATCTTTTCTTGGGAGTCGACGATTAATTGTGTCTCTGTGTTTCTTTCCCTCCTGAACCTAGCAATGCAACGATTCGAAGGGGACCACCGGGCGGGACCGGCTCAGGGGGAGGGGGAGCATCGACTAATTAGGAGAAGAAAAAACGCATAAACATAAACTTGTGGCGCTCCGCGCGGATTGCTTGGATCTGTGCTGGACCCCCTTCCCTGGCGCGCGGAGCGCGCCAGGGGCGCCGCCGGAGGCGCCGCCTGAGGGGTCCCCGCGCGGATCCAAGAAATCCGCGCGGAGCGCCCAAAGTTTATGCCTATGCCTTTGTTTTTCCCGTTATCCAAGGATGGGGCTCTTCTTTTTACTTCGACCGCGCGGAACGCGAGAGGGAGAGGGAGAACACACCTCCCACCCTCAACACCTCCCACCCTCAGGTCATCATTCTCTGACTCACTCACATGAAAACTCACTCATCTTCAAACTCACTCATACTCAGATACACTTGCTCTTCGATTCTTGATACTCAGGTTTCTCATGCTCGGGATCACTCATATGCAAACTCACTCACACTCCTGGTACTTTCGCGCTCAGACTCACACACACGTTGTGAGGATGTCTCAGGCGAGGCGCTGGTTTCAGTACTCCCAAGGGAGGGCGCCAGGGGGTATTACACTCCTCCGTTCGCGCCAAAATGGCGGGATTGTCTCGAGCGGTTTGCCTGCTTTGGTGCCCGACATCCTCCGCCTTCGGAGCAGATTTGGAGGATGTCTCGAGCGAGGCGCTCACTTTCGCCTCCAACGGGGAGCCGCCGGGGGGGTATTGCACTCCTCCGTTCCCGCCAGGATGGCGTGGATGTCTCGAGCGGTTTGCCTGCTTGGGTGCCCAACATCCTTCTCTTTCGGAGCAGTTGCCAAGGATGTCTCAAGCGAGGCGCTGGTTCCAGTACTCCCAGGGAGGGAGCCAGGAGGTATATCACAGGCCCGTTCGCGCCCAGATTGTGGGGGGGGTCTCAGGCGGTCTGCCTGTTCGGGTGCTCAATATCCTTTGCTTTCGGAGTAGTTTCCGAGGATGTCTCAAGCGAGGCGCTGGTTTCAGTACTCCCGGGGGGGGGGGGGGGCAGGAGGTATATCACAGGCCCGTTCGCGCCCAGATTGGGGTGCGGGCGGGGTCTCAGGCGATTTGCCTGTTCGGGTGCCCAATATCCTTCTCTTGCGGAGCAGTTCCCGAGGATGTCTCAAGCGAGGCGCTGGTTTCAGCACCCTCAAGGGGGGACGCCAGGAGGTATTGCACGGGCCCGTTCGCGCCCAGATTGGGGGGATCTCTCAGGCGGTTTGCCTGTTTGGGTGCTCAACATCCTTTTCTTTCGGACCAGTTTTCGAGGATGTCTCAGGCGAGGCGCTGGTTTCAGTACTCCCAGGGGGGGGGCGCCAGGGGGTATTTCATGGGCCCGTTCCCGTCTTCACAGATGGATTATCCTGGCAGGTGTTGATAGGGAAAGGAGGAGAAAGAGGAGGGGGACAAGGAGGAGGAGGAGGAGGAGGAGGAGGAGGACGGAAGGAGGAAGCAACTACTTAAAGTCGTCGTAGTCGTCGGCGTCTCTCTCGGCCTCGTTTTCTACGCGGATTCGCTGACACTCGGATAGTGAAAAGGACAATGTCTTCTACCGAAGTTCGCCATCACCATGAAATGCACATATGGGGATCTCCGCGTCGAGTAATTCTTGGATCGACGTGCGGTCGGCGATACGTCGCCGATAGATCGGCGGCAGGCCCACGATAGCGAACCCGCATTTTCCTGTGCCTTGGCTACGGAGCCCCTGCCTGCGATCCATAGGCGGTTGGGGGCTGGTGCATCCCTCCACGAGCCCACCCCCGATCCGAAGCCTGCCCCTTGCAGCCGCCCCAGGTCGAGGTCCTGGCAGGACGCTGGCCCTCCAGAGCTCGCCGCTACGTCGCGGGGTCACTCCGTGGTGGCCCGGGGGCCCGAAGAGGGCCTCTGGGCGCCCGAGGTGTGAGCAGAAAGGCGGCCCTCTCTCCTCGGGCGCCGCTTCCTGCCGAGGCAATTGAGCGGGGGGGAGAGGGACAAGGTGCGCCTTCCGTGCGACTGCGGGGCCCCAGGCCCAGGGGGGGCCTTCAGGGCCCCTGTCGTGCAGCCCTCGCCCGCCCCCGCCGTGGATCGTCCCCCACTGCACGACACGCCCAGGTCTCGACTTTGCGCGGGTGGCGCCGGAGGTCTGGCCCAAAGGCGCCTGGCGCGGATCGCCACGGACTGGCTGCAGGCACCTCGCGTCCACCGCGCCCTCGGGCTCGATCGGCTGCATCGTGAAGCCGCCCTCGACCTCGAAGGCTCGGAGGAGGAGGAGGAAGACGAGGGAGAGATACTGGCTGCGGCACCAAATCTGTGGAGTCTGGGTCCTCCTGCTCCTCCTCCCCACTCAACCTATCTCCCCTGTAAGCAACTCCACCACGCCGCACCGCCGGACATGCTGGCAGGGGGGGGGGCGACGGATCCACCTGAGACTTCCCCACCAATTGCGACTTCTGAGCCGGAAGCACGCATGTTCCAACAGCTGCTCGGATTCAGGGCGAATGGCTTTCACAATGTGACTGTCGCCATCGAGCCACACACACACATTCGTCTGCAAAGCCCCCACCTGTCACCAAGATGGAAGACGGGAGGTAATCCAAATGTAAATCTCGCCTGGGTACCGTCCACAGTCGCCTGCGAAAGTTCACAGCAGCTACGTGGATGGAGACCTGCATGGAGAGCGGTGCCGAAATGGGACCCTCGTCTGAGCACCGCGCCTATTCGTCTTCAAGTTAGCCACAATGCCTTCAACAAGTAGTGGGGTGCCCACAGGCTCATGCAGGTGTGGGGATGAAGGAGGATGTAGACTTCGTAAGGGTCCAGACTACCAATTCGACGGAGTTCTTGGGCGGCGCTGGGCGCTTCTGGCGTGTGATCCGTGGGCCTCCGGGGAGCCAGGCCAGCCCACGCCGACCCCAACGTCACCTCAGAGCTCTGCGGTAACCCCAAGGGGCCGCCCTGGGGTTCTCTGGGGGGCATCTTGGGAGCCTCTTGGGCTATTTTGGAGGCGGTGAGAGCAAGCCCAAGATGCCCAAATCATAAAACAGAGTATCCTGGCGAAGGGCCCAACCATATGCACTTGTCAGTACCTTAAGGCAGGTGGGACGAAGGCGAGGGAGCTCCTTATGGGGCCACGGGACGTGTGAGGGGTATGCCGACATGAGCGGGGGGGAGCATGTGGACACCGCCGCGAGGCCTTCGGTGGAGCTCCCTAGGGGCAGGCCACGAAACGAGCGAGGGGGATACCGAAATGAGTCGGGGGAGACGCATGTGATCACAGCCACTGGGGCCTTCGGTGGAGCGCTTGTGGGAGCGCCTGGCTTGGGAGCGCCTGGGAGCGCCTGGGAGCGCCTGGGAGCGCCTGGGAGCGCCAGAAGCGCCTGGGAGCGCCGGAGAGGCCCTTGGGAGACCTGGGAAGCGCCTGGAGCGCCAGGGAGCGCATGGGAGCACGTGGGAACGCCTGGGGACGGGGTGTATATCCCCACGAAGCTGGCACCATACGTGCAGTGCCGAGGGTGGCGGCTCGCCTTCCCATCCCACCATCACAGGAGGGATGCGAAGTCCCCGAAGACGGGGCTTACCAGGCACGAGTGGGAATCACAGCTGTCCCAAAATCAAAAGAGGCATCATAGCCTCATGGATCATCATCTTAGCATTGCCTTCATTGTCTGCGTCGCATGCTCTCCCCAAAACGCCCCCAGGAGGCCCCAAGAGGGTTCCAGAAGGGCCATAAGAGGCCTCCTCCTCCTTCTTCTCCCCTCCCTCTTCCTCCCGCAAGCGTTCTCACAAGATTCTCCACAACGGCTGGGGAACACACACACACTGACCAAGAATATCTTGGCCAGACTTTGGTCCAAGCTTCGGCCGCAAAGTAGGGGGGTTCTCAAGACAGAGAGGGCGGCGGAGGGGTTGGCCGTAGGCGTTCGTCGATACCCCATGAACGACAAACGGCGGGTGGATTTCACAATGTGGCCTTCGACCAAGCGCCGCTCACATTCGTCCTAGAAGCTTCAAGACAGCTAACTACACGGACAAAGGGCGAGTCTCGCTCAGAATAGGGCTATCCACCAGAAGATTAAAGCAACGACCTGTGCAACAGTCATTTGCGTGGGTTGAGGGCGGCTCCTTTTCGAAACAGAGCTGTGGTCTGTAACCCCTTCCAACGTATGACCAGGAATCAGAAACAAGGTATGCAACGCTATCAGCCGATGGAGAGCGCGCCATGTTTTGGGTGTTATATGCTGGATATGTCTTGGAGGTTAAGATGCTACACCATGGCAAACCCTGTAGCCGACAACCCAAACATGATGCAGAGACTCATGGCGATGTGACTTGAGACGGAAGGGTGCTTTGGTCCCTCTCCTCCTAATTGTAGCGTATGGCCGGAAGCAACCCGAAAAACGAGCGTGGATTAACCCTCCTCATCCCCCTCTCGATCTCTCGATCCTCCTCCTCCTCCTCCTCCTCCTCCTCCTCCTCCTCCTCCTCCTCCTCCTCCTCCTCCCCGTCCGCTCCTCGCGTCTGACGACGCTGTCTTCTGGCTTCGTCTTCGATAGTTCGCTTGGCGTTTGATCTTCGGTGATTCGCTTGCGTTTCATCTCTATTTGTCTCGTCGAGCCGCGCTCGCTCGCCTTTTCCACCCATCCTTTTCTTCCCTTTGCCTGTCTCGGCGCGCTCGGATTCCTCGAGTTGGCGTGCCTCCTCCTCCCCCGCTCGATCTCTCGACCCTCCTCCTCCTCCTCGAGGAACCCTGGGAGGGCTCCAATCGCGCACAAGTCTTGAGCGGATGCTCGGGCCGACGGGCGGGGCGAGGGCGGGGTTCCTGGAAGGCCCGGGGGCTCCTTACAGCAGTAGCAGAACAACATAACAACAAAACGACAAAACATCAAAACAACAACAACAACAACAACAACAACAACAACAACAACAACAACAACAACAACAACAACAACAACAACAACAACAACAACACCAACAACAACAACACCAACACCAACACCACCACCACCACCAACAACACCAACAACAGCAACAACAACAACAGCAACAACAACAGCAACAACAACAACAACAGCGGCAACACCAAACGACAACGACAACAACAACAACAACAACAGCAACAACAACAACAACAACAACAACAACAACAACAACAACAACACCATCAACACCATCAACAACAACAACAACAACAACAACAACAGCAACAGCAACAGCAACAGCAACATCAACAAAACACGCCATAGTCGAAACTTTTGGCGCTCCGCGCGGATGTCTTGGATCAATGCTGGACCCCCCATCTCTGGCGCGCTCCCGCGCCCAGAGCGGCGCCGGAGGCGCCGCCAGGGGGTCGGGCCCCAGCGCGAAAGTTGATGTTTTGTAGAGTTTTGTCTTCTTCGAAGCAGGCGGCCGGCCCCACCTCCACGGAGGACCCCCAGAGAGCAGGAAGGCTTCTGAGAGGCCGGGTGCCTTATCAGGGGGCCGCAGCCGGCTGCATAGGGGGGAAAGGCCGGCGCCAGTGTCGGCGTCGTCGCCGTCGGGGTCGGCGGCATCGCCGCCGTCATCGGCGGGGACGCCGTTGGAGGAGCAGGGGGGGGGAGGAGCAGGAGGAGGATTTCTCCCAATCATTCTCTGGTGTTGGGTCCTCGTTTTGAAGAGAACGCTCCGCGTCCTCCTCCTCTCCTCTCCTCTCCTCTCCTCTCCTCTCCTCTCCTCTCCTCTCCTCTCCTCTCCTCTCCTCTCCTCTCCTCTCCTCTCCTCCTCTCCTCTCCTCTCCTCTCCTCTCCTCTCCTCTCCTCCTCCTCCTCCTCCCCCTCCCTCCTCGCTCCTCCGCAGTTCGCGTGCGTCTCTCCCGCCCAGTACCAATGTTTCTTGGCCCCAGAGGGAGCTTCACCGGCCCCAGAGGGAGCTCCACCGAAGGTCCAAGTGGCGCAGTCCGCATGCGTCCCCCCCACTCAGTACAGCGTTTCGTGGCCCCAGAGGGAGCTCCACCGAAGATCCCAGTGGCGCAGTCCGCATTCCTCCCCCCCATCCAGTACACCGCTTCGTGGCCCCAGAGGGAGCTCCGCCGAAGGTCCCAGTGGCGCAGTTCGCATGCGGTTCCCTTGCCCAGTACAGCGCTTCGTGGCCCTGCAGGGGGCTGCGCCAAGGTCCCAGTGGCGGAACTCGCATGCGGTGGCGGAGCTCGCATGCTTTTCCCCCGCCCAATACAGCGCTTCGTGGCCCCATAGGGAGCTCCACCTAAGGTCCCAGTGGCGCAGTCCGCACGCGGACCCCCACCCAGTACAGCGATTCGTGGCCCCAGAGGGAGCTCCACCGAAGGTCCCAGTGGCGCGTTCGAGTCCGCCCCCCCCGCCCAGCGCAGCGTTCCGTGGCCCCAGAGGGAGCTCCACCGAAGGTCCCAGTGGCGCGTTCGAGTCCGCCCCCCCCCGCCCAGCGCAGCGTTCCGTGGCCCCAGAGGGAGCTCCACCGAAGGTCCCAGTGGCGCGTTCGAGTGCGTCCCCCCCGCCCAGCGCAGCGTTCCGTGGCCCCAGGGGGACCTCCACCGAAGGTCCCAGTGGCGCAGTTCGAGTGCGTCCCCTCCACCCAGTACACCATTTCGTGGCCCCATAGGGAGGTCCGCTGAAGGTCTCAGTGGCCCAGTTCGCATGCGGTTCCCCCGCCCAGTACAACATTTCGTGGCCCTATAGGGAGCTCCACAGAAGGTCCCATTGGCGCAGTTCGCATGCGTCTCCCCCCACCCAGTACAGCGTGTCGTGGCCCCACGGGGCTGCGCCGAAGGTCCCAGTGGCGGGCTCGCATGCGGTTCCCATGCCCAATACAGCGCTTCGTGGCCCCAGAGGGAGCTCCACCGAAGGTCCCAGTGGCTGAACTCGCATGCTTTTCCCCCGCCCAGTACAGCGGTTCGTGGCCCCAGAGGGAGCTCCACGGAAGACGATACCCACAACTGCGGTACTCACAACTGCATATGGTTGGGTTCTTCGCCAGGCTATTTAGCTGTTGTTTTCTGACGCTTCGGGTCCAAGTGGCCCAATAGCTTGCCCAAGAGAGGAGGATTCTCCCCCCCAAAAAGAACAGCACTCCTCGCAGCCATGCGTGATTCAGATATCCTCTGGTGCGTTGTCGTCTGATCACAACGATTGTTGCCGCGTCGACTCTGCGTGGAGAATCTGGATGCTGGACGCAAACTGCTAGCCGTGAGGCCGGGCGGAAGCCTACATATAAATTGCGGAGGGGAAGGAGGAGGAGGAG